ATTCCTGTGGATCCTCAAAATTTCAGGGCCCTCATTCCACATCTTGGGACCACAAAGAGCAAAGTTAAGTTCAGTTCCCTGGGGCAGCAAAGCATCCTTATCATAACAATGAAAGCATTGCTTCTGGGCATGGAAATGTCTGGTGGATAAAAGCCAGCATGGAGACCTTGGAAATGAATTACTTGTCACAACTAAGGGGTTTCCTCAGAGTCAGGAAGGAAGAGGTGGTTTGAAGAGGTTAATCCCCTCCAATCTGAGAGGCTGGATGAAGGCAAGAGAGAATGAATTCCATCTCAGTGAGGTCACAGTGCAGGCCACAGCATGTCTCCTGATGACCAGGGCAGGCCAGAGCTTTGCACAGTATCCTGGAGAGTCTGGGAAAAGACAGTGTGAGTGCCACACAAGCCTGGTCCTGTCATCATTACAAAGGCCTGGCTGTAAGGGGGGTGTAAGGCAGGGAGCAGATAGGAGAGGAGGGGAATTTCCTGCTGACATTTTGACATTGGCCAAAGTCCTGTTTCATTTGTTTGTTTGGTTTTGGTTGTTATATTTTATTTTGTTTTGTTTGATTTGGCTTGGGATTTGGTCAGAAACCCAGTGTTCAAATCCTCTCTTGGGCATCTTATAAAATGTGACCTCAAGTAAGTCACTTCCTTTGTCTACCTCACCTTTTCCATTTTTTTAGTGATAAACTGGATGGGCCACGTTTCATGGTACCCAGGAGTTTGAAGTTCACTAAAACTAAAGTTATTTTTTTTTAAATGACAAAATCAACACAGAGGGCCAACTTTTTACTTTTCCAAGTAAGGGCAAAGGCTCTTTATAATTACTATAATTTGAACAAATAAAGCTAACTTTAAAATAGGTGGTTTTGGAAAGTGCATGGTCTCAAGAGAGCAAACAGAAAACAAGAACTTCCAAAGCAATGGAGCTCCGCAGTCTTACACCACACTCTGCAAAGTGTGCTAAGGCTCTGTCACTCCTTGGTGGCCTGCTGAGAGTGTTAGCACTGGCACTGTCCTTGGACCAAGAATCGGGAATGTTTTGTGTGACGGGCTTGTGCAACAGGCTCCTTCCAGCTCCAGCCTCTCAGTCTGGAATGCTTCCTGCCCCCTGACCCAGTCCTGCTACCAGGAAGGAGGGTTGCACCCCAGGGACTTAGAGCTTCCTTGTCTGAGCTTCCCGTGGTTCCTGCAGGCCCAGCAGATGGAATCTCCCTCCTTCCTGGTGTTCACAAGTGTGTACCACAGTTTTGCACAGCTGTGTGCATGTAGTGCATGGTCAGTTAGCTCCTCCATGTCCTTCAGGCACAGATGCATGTATGAAGTGCACTCTGGTCTTCTCTGCCCTGCTCCCAGCCCCATTTCTATCTCTTAGGATCACAGTGTTTGATTTGAGTTCTCCCCTGTCTCCCTCCATTCCCTCAGCCCTGCAGTCCTCCGTATTCAGGTCAGGTCTTTATCATTGCTTCTCTACCAACTGGCCGCCTGGCTCTGTCATCCCCACCCCAGGCCCTACTCTCACCTCCTGCCAACCTAGGCTTTCAGACGTGTCCGCCCTCTGGTTCCCCGTTCCCTATGGGAAAGTCATAACATGTTTATGTTTGAAAAGGGCTCTGGAGATTATCATGTTTCACCAAATAGAAAATCTGAACCCCAGAGAGGAGAAGCCACTTGTCCAAACACACACAGCTTATTACTGTCAGAACCAGAAGTATACCAAGGCCTTCTTAACATAAGCCAATGCCTTTCTACCTCCCTATGCTAGTCAATAGAATTTTTTTTTAAATGTATGGTATGTGTCACATCTGACCGTTAAGAACCAGAGCCCAGGCCTCACTGCACTTTCCACCCTGAAATCCCTGCTGTCCTGGTGAGTCTTCCCTCCATAGGCCTGGCTGCTGCTCATCTGCTCTGGTCACCCACTCCAGGCAGGTCACTTTCTTTACCCCAATACCACATAACGTCTCCCGTTTAGTCGGTCCATATCTCCTTGCCTCTAATGTCCTTGTTCATCTCACATAAATTTATATAGCTCTAAATCTGAACCAGAAGCTTGGCTAGGTACCAGGGTACAAAGATTAAGTTAGTGTTTGTGCCCAGAAGGAGCCCACCATCTTGGAGCTGCTCGTGTCTTCCCTGATGCTTGGCTGTCAACAGCGGTCCAGCCTATAGGGGTGATGGCAGCTCAGCAATTCTGTGCCACCCTTATTCCTTATCATCCCTCGGCTCTTGACTCATGTGGCCTGCCTCCCCGCTCCAGTTCCTCTGTCACACTGAGCTGGCCTTATCTCCCCAAGAAGATCAAACCCTCCTTGAGGGTTGGGCCTATGGTCCCACAGTCCCCGGCCCCCAAAATACTGGGCATGGTGTCTGCTTCCTGCACACTTGATGACTGACTGGATCATCCAGTCATCCCCTTGCCCTTCTACCAAGCTAGTTCCTGGTTCTTCTCAAGCTAAATGTGCTAACAGGTGCCCATCACTAGAAACTGAGCAAACAAGTGTCTTTTTGTAAACCAGGGGCATCCTGGAAGTTTCCCCACTCACTTCCTTCCCCCCGTATACACCTCTCATCCCCATCCCTCCCAGCATGTGCATGTTCATGCACATAAAATGAGGATGAGATGAACACCAAGGACAACCTAACGGGGCAGAAATGTCATCTAAAGTCATTCTAAGCCTTAGAGGATGGGAGCCATACAAAGAAAGCAGGGTTCATCGGTCTGCTAGATACAGACTAATGGTAGGTAGTATGTACACATGCTTTGGAAATTAGTAGGAACGCACCAGCTTCTATCACATCAACTTTACTGAGAACTGGACCTATAGGCCCATAAGCACTTAGAGGTAGAGTGTGGGAGAGACCAACATGTGTGTGTGTGAGAGAGAGAGAGAGGGAGAGAAAAAGGACTAGAGAGAGAGACAGGCAGACAGAAAGCGATGATCATGAAACCTAGTGAATAATGGCATTCCACATGCCCAGAATAAGCATTAGTTTTATTGGTGGCTTCTAGATTATCCATTCCTTTTCTGTCTTCTGGTGGTAGAAGCAATATTGTGTAATACATTCTTGAGGTAGTTGTCTGGTGTGGTCAGGACCCTTGCAAGAAAAGACTGACATAATTTAACACCCAAAACTCATGAATTAGCTGATGTTCATACTTTCCCTAGCTACACAGACATCACTCAGTGACATTTGGATTTTAGTTCTTCAGCTAATCTAAGTCAAGCAATCGAAAAATCTTGTAGCTATTGTGGAAAACATTGTGAAGTCTCCACAAAAAAGTAAAAATAAAAATATGATCCAGCAATTCCACGACTGGGTATTTACCCAAAGAAAATAAAAGCATTATTTTGAAAAGATATGTGCATTCCTATGTTTATTGCAGCACTATCCACACTAACCAACATATGGAACAAACCTAAAAGTCTTTGGCAGATGAACAAATAAAGAAAATGTGGTGTGTGTATGTGTATATAAGAATATTTTATTGCTAACTAATAGAATATCATACAGCCATAAAAAGGATGAGCAGAGCCTGGGTGGCTCTCAGTCAGTTAAGTGTCTGACTCTTGATATTGGCTCAGGTCCTAATCTTGCTGTCGTGAGATCAGGGTTGGGCTGTGCACTGAACATGGAGTCTGCTTGGGATTCACTCTCTCCTTCTCTCTTTGCCCTTCCCTTGCTCTCTCCCTCTCTCTCTCTCTCTCTCATAATAAATAAACTTTAGAAAAAATAAAAGATGAGATCTTGCCATTTGCAACAACATAGATGGTCCTACAGGGTAATATCCTAAGTGAAATAAAACAGGAAAAAAAGACAAATACTATATATGATTTCACTCATGTGGAATTTAAGAAACAAAACAAATGAAAAAAACAAACAAACAGAAAAGGCAGAAACATGTCCATAAATACAGAGAACAAACCAGAAGGGAGAGAGTGGGGTGGGGGATAGGCAAAATGGGTGGAGGGCAGTGGGAGGTACAGGCTTCTAGTTACTGCCTGAGTAAATCACAAGGATGAAAAGCACAGCATAGGGAATACAGTCAATGGCATTGTAATAGCATGGTATGGTGACAGATAGTAGCTACACTTGTGGTGAGCATAGCTTAACATATAGATTTGTTGAATGTTTTACACCTGAAACTAATGTAACATTGTATGTCAGCTATACAGCAATTAAAAAGAAAAGATCTATAAACATTGGAAAGAGGAGGAGGAGAAGAGGACTTGCACTTTTATTTCCTTTCCCATGTACACAGGCCCAATACACAGAGGTAGATCTGCCACACAGGAAACCCATGCCCCACTGCCTTAGGGAACAGTGAGGGCCTGGCCCCTCCTTCTTCACCACTGGCCCAGCACAGCACAGTGCCCAGCACCCCATGGAGGTGTACTCCATCGTGATGAATAAATAGCCATCCCAGGATAACTTCCCCACATGGCCTTTCTTCTCTGCTATCAGGGACCTGAGCTGAAATCCCTTTCCAAGACTCTCTAGGGTTGCTTCCATCAGAGTGACACCAGGCCAAAGGATTTCTCCCCCTGGATTCCTCTCAGTTTCTCTCACTTGTTCTGTGCCCACCCTGCCAGGACCATGTTTTGGAGAGAGACCATCAATTTCCAAGCCTTGTGTCTTTAGTGTTACAGTCTGACTTCCCAAGATCTTGGGATAGTCTAAGTTTTTCAGTAGAGCTACAGCTAAACTCTGTGTTGAGATTTGAACACACCACCCTCACCACCAGCGTGCCAACTTCCATTTCTTTCAGCCAAGGTCTTAGGATACTGGCTGGCAAGTGCCACTACTTGCCCTCAAATTTTGCAATTACATATTCCATGCTTCCAAGAGTGTGTCTTGCCTAGTATTTCAGAGCCCAACTCTGGAGCACCCAACAATTGTGGAATGCTCATTCTGTGCCAAATACTTGTACTTTATGTATGCTGTGCAGTTTAAGCCATTTAACAAGCAGGTTGGTGTGGTTATCTCCCTTAGGAGATGACGAAACTGAAGCTCAAAGACATTAAGTGCCCAATGTCACCCACCGGTAAAGATCAGGACATTTGTTGGGGTTGTTTCAAAGATATTCCATCCTCAAGTATGGAGGGCATCAAGGTCTGTGCCCTATGTCATCCTTCTCTGTCTTGGGATCTCTAACAGGAGTAGGGAGGAAGAATTGGGATAGGGCCCTGGCAGCTCAGAACCTGACGCCAGCCTAGGTGACTCCTCTAGAAGCTCAGTCTAAGTCAATGCTTGGCTTCCCCCTCCCCCCCACCTTATGATAATCACTTCCTTGGGAATCCCAGAGTCTGGGTGACTTATACATATATATGTAAAAAGATGAGACATAAGTACTGTCTAATGTAACCACCTGGTTCCCCTGAATGGAGCCTAATGTTTTTTTCAATAGAAGGCAGGACAGAGGACTACAGGCCTCATTTATTGCCTAAATAATAATAGACACAAAACCAAATCCTCTTGCCCTATCTTTCCACCAGTTCAAGCTGAATGTGGCTCTGAGCCCAGGTTAAGTCAAAGTCATGCATTTGCTGAGTGTAATGGGCTTCCCAGAGAGCCGTTCACCTCCTCAGTTGTTGAATTGCCCTGAAGACAATGCTGTCTGCATACCCCACCCAGGCCACCCCCTCCTCTCTGCCAAACAGAACTTCCCGGAACCCTGCCCTCACACCCCCATAACCAGTACTGTCCTGAATGTCTGCTTAGGACCCTCCCAGATGCCAAGGTTCTAAGTCAAAAGTCACGAGTGGGTTTGGAAATCCAAGGCAGCCAGCCTTGTAAAGTGACAGGGAGGTGGGGCGGAGGCCAGAGTAAAGGCACCATCACCCCAAGTCCTGCCATGCCACGAGAGAGGCTGACAGCCCTGGAGGGGTGAGTAAAACCTGAAATTTGAGGAAGGGACTAATTAGGACACTCCAATCCTAAGCCATCTCATGGCCTCGGGCAGGGATGTGAGATGTATAAAAGGTGGGAAGGCTCAGGGCAGCCCAAACCCTTTGGCATCTCCACACTCCAGCCTCTTGGCAAAGAGAACTTGGGTAAGTCTGGCAAAGCGGTGCCTCTGCTCACAGCCTTGCTCCATGTGGTCCCAACCTGGCTGGGAGCTGGGCTGGAGCTCTGGGTGGTTGGCCGGAAAGACCTCATTTAGCATCTCTCTTTTCTGTATTATTGGGGACCAACCTGTAGCGGTCTGCAAGCCATCCAGCCAAGGGGTGTGGGGGCTGGGCTGAGATGGGAGAAGAAAGCCTCAGGCCGGTGCCTTGAGGATCCTGCTGGTTGCATTACGGGTGTCGGGTCTTGCCAGGTGTTGAAAGGGGGTTAGTAGAAGGAGCGGGTGTGCCAGCTATGAGACATAGCAGCTGGCAGAGTTGCCTTTTATGGAAAAGGTAACTATAGGGTGGGAGAGAAGAAGGCTGCATTGGGGACAGGGGTGCAGAGACCCCGAGGAGCACAGAACAGCAGGGACAGGATGATGTGGCACAGGGGCAAGGTCCTGTCTGGGAATTGAGGACCACTGTTACACCCACTTGTGCTGTGTGACTGGAGACTAATTACTTCCCTCTCTGAGGTCCATTTTCTTCAACTGTAGTTAAGAGTCAAGCTAAAAGATACATTTTGTCTCTAGATTCCTCTTTTCTATAATTCTCTTAGAGAAAAGAGTTGCTTTTAGAAATTTATTTAATAAATCAAAATCCTTATGCTGTGTTCATCATGTGCCAGGTACTCTGTGCGGTTGCAGGTGTGCACACACACATGTACATGTATGTATGCATGCATGTTTATATGTATGTATTTTATGTACTCATTTAATCTCGACAACCCTAAGAGATGTGAGTACAGAGAGGCTAAGTAACTTGCTGAAAGTCACACAGCAGGTTAATGATTAGCCAGGACTCTGATCCCAGGCAATCCTGTTGCACATTCCATAGTTTTGCCATAAAAGTATATTCTTTTTGTTCTTGCCCTCCATGTCTTTCCTTCTCCCTCTTTCCCTTCTCCCTTTTTCTCCTTTTCCTTTCCTACCTCCTTCCTTCCATGTTTCTCTGTCTCAGAAAGAATTCAAATGACTTACAAACTTTTAGCCACAACTTATTCTCACACATTTACACACACACACCTTAAGTTGTGAAGCCACCAAGGCAAAGTAGAAGCAGAGCAGGATGTGAATGTGGCAGAAGGTACCCCCCCCCCAACCCAGCCTGGGGCCCAGAGTATCTCTGTGGTGGGGGTGCTCCTCACTTCTGTGTTTTTCTGTTTCCAGTTGTGCATCAACCCAGAATGTCTCAGCAGAAGCAGAAGCAGTGTGCTCCCCCCCAGCAATGCTGCCCTCCACCCCAGCAGTGTGCTCCCCCACCCCAGCAGTGTGCTCCCCCACCCCAGCAGTGCTGTCCTCCACCTCAGCAAACCAAGCAGCCTTGTCAGCCTCCACCCAAGTGCAAGGAGTCTTATGCGCCCAAGTGCCAACAGAAATGCCCACCCCCTCAGCAGTGCCAGAAGTCCAAGCAGAAGTAAGACCCCAGCATGTAACCAGAGGCGGAACCTCCAGGGAAAACAGCAGCATGAAGTTCAATGCCCCTTTCTCAGACAGCCAGCTGTCAGCCCCACTCACCCCCAGCTTCTGGCCTCAAGCACCAGGAGGTGGCTTCTTCAATCTCGACCTCTTATTAATTATCAGCTGCAATTTCCACCTCAGACAAGGATCTGGTTCTTAACTGTGTAACCATCCCTACTGACTTGTATTTATATCACCGTCTGCTTCTCGGATCACCGTCTGCTTCTCGGAAGCTTGGGCAGCAGGCCAGACACCTTTCTTACCACCTCCCTCTTTCACTCCTGTTTTCCAAACAATTAAACATAGTTCGTCTGGCACAAATGTTTCAGTCTGATTCTTTTGTTGTTGAACAGTGTTACATCCTGCAGGTTTTGTATCCTGCCCTTGCTGCAGAGCCCTAGGGAGTTGGGCATGTGGGTGTGGGCAGAGCAGCAGGCATGGTATGGATGTACTTGTGAGCGGTGGGGCATTTCCAGTGGTCCTGCCAAGATAAGGATTTGAGGTGAGCACTTCTGCAGCATGGAGACACACCCCACACCCAGGGAAATCGAAAGCACAGCTGGAACCAGGGGGAGATGATTCCCAACTGGAGAACATGTGTGAGGAAAAAGCATCCTTGGCAGCAGAGAAAGAGCAAGGGAACCCCCCCCCCCATCAGCTAAGAACTACCTAGCAGAGGAGAAGGACTGAGGCAGATAAATTATATTTCAGAGAATACACTCCAAGGGCTTCCAGGTCCAAAGGAATTGAGAATAAGGCCTTAAACTTCTCCCATAAATAAAAGAGAAGACCAAATTTTCTCCAAGCTAACCAAATGTGCCATTGGGAAAAATCTATGCAACCACACTGTATACTCGACACACTATATCCATTGTCAACATGTGATTAAAATCAGAGCCCCCAGTTGTTCTTCAGTTGGGGATTCCCCTGAGCTATTTCCCCCTACTGCCCTCCCACTTTTGGTTCTTCACATTATCTGATTGTGGTAACCAGATAATTCAAACCTACAAGGAATCCAAACTGCTAGTTCCTATTGTTTCCACTACCTACTCTATCCCTCTCCACCAAACCCCGCTCCTATAAAATGGTCCACAGATTTGAACCTCCTTTCCTATACCTGTCTCTCTTTCATGTCTCTGGGCTCCAGGGCAGTCACTAAGAGCCAGCAGAAATACCCAAAAGGAGGCAGAGAGGAAACTATCATGAATTGAAAGTCTGGATTATCCCCAACATACATTACAGACCCTGGAGAACACAGAGTTAGCTCCAGACCAAAGCTCTGAGACTTGCTTGCCTGCATGGCTGGGCTGCTCCTCGTCCCTGAGACTCCTTCTGCACCTTTCAGCGGTCTCTCCTCCATTCATCCACTCACCTATTTATCCATCTTTCCCCCCCTACCCTACCAACCCATCAGCACATTAGTAAGCACCTCCCTCCTATTTGTGCAGAACATGAGAGGTGCTATAAAAACAGAGAACAGGGGCTCTGGGCCTTTGGGTCCAACAATCCCTGGGAGAAGACCTCTGTGAAACAAGGAACAATATGTCAGGGTGGCATCAATTATGTGATGACTTAGGCACCACTTCATGCTCTTGGAATTCAGAGACAGAGAGAGTGAGAACACCTTGAAAATGAGGTGAACTCTTTAACACCCCCACATTCAGAGCTGCCAATCAACACAGTCTCCAAGTGTGTCCTCCTCACCCCCATACGTCACCTTCCCCCATGCCTCTCTCATTTGGGCTCTTCCCCTCCCTTACTCCACAGCATAACAGGAGATTGAATTTTGCCTCTCTGGGCTTCATTTAATTTTCTCCTTACTAATTGCCATAATCAGCACACGTACACTTGAGCTCACGTGTGAACCATCTTGACAGTTTTTCGTTCGTCACTGTCATACTATGTCTGGATCCCAGAACCCACCCCCCCCCTTCTGCTGAGTGACTCACAGTGACTTAGGGAATATCCCTAGGCTCGTTTTTCTCATCTGTGTGGTTGGGGGAAAGATTAGTCGCCTCTTGGGGTGCAAGGGGGAGGTGTTCAAGGAGAATTTAAATAAATAGTGAGCATAACATGACCCATAGCAAGTGTTTGATGACTGTTAGATGTTGCTTTTATTATTATTGTCAGTTCTTGTGGAGCAGGAAGCCCACAGATAGGACCCTTCACCTATTTCTGCACCGGAGGACGTGGGCTCCAGAGCTTTAATGATGCAAAGTTATGAAGGTGCAGGGAACATTTCAGGATCAAGGACAGATCCAGTTAAGTAGAGAAAAGAATCACAGTGGGTGTTCATAGGAGGAAACAGGATTTAGTTTAGGGCATAAGTACCCCATTTGGTGGTTCCCCTTTACTTCCAGAATCTTCTGTGGTTTGATACCTGTCCACAATGGGTCCTGCTCCTGAGGCAGTTCTGGGCAGCTCTACCTACAGTGGTTCTCAGCTCTCTGTTTGGACAGCCAACCATGTTTCTGTGAGGCAGGCCACACTCCCTGGAGGCCAGAAAGGAGGCTGACAAGCTGAGGAAGCACGTACAGCAGCAAGGTCCTCACTAACACACACATTGACACCACCCTATAGGAGAAGGTATGGCCGTCCCCATCATGGATGGAGGACTGAGGTTCAGACAAGCTCCCTCTTTGCTTGCAGTAACAATAGCTGTAGGTAGTGGAGCTGAGCTGCAAACTTGGAAACCTCTGTCCCTCTGCCAACATTCTCTGTGACACAAGAAGAGCTCTGACCCTGCTAGGAGCTACAAGAGGCCTAAAGCCTGCATCCTCTCTCTCCAGAATGTGCAGCCCACCAATCTACTGGGGAGGCAAAGCCAACATGTACACAAACCCCCATAGCCTCAACTTGTTTTTACACCTTCATGTAAATTACACAAAGTGGGTTGTTATTCAAAGTACATTTTACATCTTCATAGACTGACGTTGAGTATTGAGAGTAGAAGCTGGTGCAGAGCTCCAGAAGCCCTGATGGGATGGGCATGGATGGGTCACCTAGTCTCAGTGTGTGGAGGACTCTGGGGCAGTGTTCCAGAAGCCCTGATGGTATGGGCATGAGCCCCCAGTTTCTCAGTTTGTAGAGGATTTGGGGCAGTGTTCCAGAAGCCCTGATGGTTTGGATATGGACCTCCTAGTTTCTCAGTGTGTGGAGGACTCTGGGGCAGCGTTCCAGAAACCCTGATGGGATAGTTATGGGCCCCCTAATTTCTCAGTGTGTAGAGGACTCTGGGGTAGCGTTCCAGAAGCCCTGATGTGATGGGCATGGGCCACCTAATTTCTCAGGGTGCGGAGGACTCTGGGACAGTGTTCCAGAAACCCTGATGGGACAGGCATGGGCCCCCTAGTTTCTCAGTGTGTGGAGGACTCTGGGGGCAGTGTTCCAGAAGCCCTGATGGTTTGGGCATGAGCCCCTAGTTTCTCAGTTTGTAAAAGACACGGGGCAGCGTTCCAGAAGCCCTGATGTGATAGGAATGGGCCCCCTAGTCTCTCAGTTTGTAGAGGACTCTGGGACAGCATTCCAGAAGCCCTGATGGGATTGGCATGGATGGGCCACCTAGTTTCTCAGTGTGTGGAGGACTCTGGGGCAGTGTTCCAGAAGCCCTGATGGGATAGTTATGGTTCCCCTAATTTCTCAGTGTGTAGAGGACTCTGGGGTAGCGTTCCAGAAGCCCTGATGTGATGGGAAAGGACCCCTTAGTTTTTCAGTGTGCAGAGAATTCTGGGGCAGCATTCCAGAAGCCCTGATGGTATGGGCATGAGCTCCCAGTTTCTCAGTGTGTAGAGGAATCTGGGGTAGTGTTTCAGAAGCCCTGATGGGATAGGCCATGGGCCCCTACTTTTTCAGTGTGTAGAAGACTCTGGGGCAGTGTCCCGAATCGTGATGATATGGGTATTAACCCCCTAGTTTCTCATTTGTAAAGGGCTCTGGGGCAGCGTTCCAGAAGCCCTGATGGGATGGACATGGGCCCTCCAGTTTCTCAGTATGTAGAGGACTCTGAAGCAGCGTTCCAGAAATCCTGATGGGATAGGCATGGGCCCCATAGTTTCTCAGTGTGTAGAGGCTTCTGGGGCAGCGTTCCAGAAGCCCTGATGGGATAGGAATGGGCCCCATAGTTTCTCAGTGTGCAGAGGACTCTGAGGCAGTGTTCCAGAAGCCCTTGTGAGATAAGCATGTGCCCCCCAGTTTCTCAGTGTGTAGAGAACTCTGGGGCAGTGTTCCAGAATTGTGATGGAATGGTCATGGACCCCCTACTTTCTCAATGTGTAGAGGAGTCTGGGGAAGCTTGGGTGGTGGCAGGAATGCTGGTTGGCAGGGGAGTTGGTGCAGTGACAGTTTGCCACCTGTTACTGAAGTGGTTTTAATATTCCACCATGGAGTCTGCAACACCGGTGTATGCTGGAATGTTCCTGCTGAATATCATCCCTGTGCATAGTCACTCTTGCACACTCACTCATGCTCACACACCATTGCACGTATTCCCATATATATACATTCATGAGCCCTCACAGGAATTCACAACTCACCACACACTGACACATAGTCACATGCTGTCAGTCCCACTCAAAGATGTGGCCGTACACTGACACAGTCGTAGGTACCTGAACACACAGACACAAATGCCCACAGGGTCACCCTCACTCATGTGATGGCCAACTGCTGTTCTTGTGTCCCAGTAGCTTCTTCCAGGACTCTGCTGCATTACAGCAGGGACATCTGGCCACAGCCTTGAGACCTGAGGGAGACAGTCTGATGCTGGTGCTTGGAAGGATGTGCGCCTTCCTCAGAAAAGAATACAGCTATGTATTTCAAATAAAGAAATCCCCTGAAAGGTGGTGTGGCAGAGGAAAAAGAACACCTACCTGCTTTGAAGCCTAAGAAACCTGGTTTCAAATCTCTTATTCCCTTTTTCACTGAGTAACCTTGACCAACTTAACTTTTCTAAGCTATAAAATGAGAACCACTAAAACTTCCAGGCCTGGGTTAAAAATTCAAGCAGACAGGTAGTGGTGATCTGCCCTTCCCTCTCCTCTTCTTCCACAGGCCCCCTGGGAAAGTGAAGACCTCTTTCAACTGCCAGCTGCTATGCTTCAGGGGACCCCAGCTGGTGATGGATCTCCACAGCTAGGCTCCAGCTCTAGACACTGGGAATCTTAAGTGGGAGCCCTGCCCATGGGTGTGGCCCAGTGTGGCCTACTCTACCTTTTTCTGCGTGTGTGTGCATGTGTCTTGGCTGTCTGGAATTCCTGGGGGAATCACAGATGTCTGGCACTGAAGATACAGCAGGCTTGGTCTGTGTCCCAGTCTGCTGAAACTCCTCCTGGGCCACTGTGGTGCCATCTGGCACTGTGTGTGTGTGTGTGTGTGTGTGTGTGTGTGTGAAGGGCTAGTGTCATCTGGAGGTGCTGCCCAGGAGCAGAGAGTAGTCATTGTTGACATCTGACTCCCAGCTTCTGGCATCTAGTCCTCTCTTCTAGAATATTTATGCCAGCTATCAGGTACCAGACTGACTGATTCCATCTCCTTTTTTGGTAACATTAAAAGGTAACCATACTTTCTTTCCTCAGCCTTTCAGGCAGCCTTCAGCTTGAATGTCCTCAGGCCCCAAGGGCTGATGGGACAATGGGGTTCACCTTCAGTGGGCTTTAGGAGGCACTGTAGCTTCAAATAAAGAGCACTGGACAGTCATGAGACCTGAGTTATTATCTTCATTCTGTCATTGCCCCCCTGTGAGACCCTGGGCAAATTATTTCCTTTTTCTGGGCCTCCGTTTTCCTCACCTACACAAGGTCACATCAGGCTTGCTGGATTCTTCCTCAGCTTCCTTCCCACTCTGACTCACTAGAAGGTGACTGACTCACTCTAATCTTTATATAATCTCCCCATCCCTTAAGTAGTCACAGTCACGGAAAACCCTTGGAAGTAGGGATGGGGTGTGGCTTTGCCATGGAGGCACAGAGCAAGTTTCACTGAAATCCACATCTATATTCTAAGGTCTCTCAGCCTTAGGACTAACCTGCCTCCCTCCAGGGAGCCAACTGCTGTCAGTTTATATATAAGTATACCCATATGTGCATATACATATATATTTAAAAGGAGTGAGTTACTTCTAAAAGTAAGGCACTATGCTAAGATTTTAACACTCTTACCCTATTATTCTTCATTACTGCCATAAAAAATAATGAGGAAAATCAGACCCAAGGAAGTAACAAACTTTGCCCAAGATTACATAGCTGGTGGCTGAAGAGCTGTCTTTCATCCAAACCCATCTTATTGACTTATTCTATTCCCCCCTTGATGGGCTAGAAACTAACAGGGCAAGCAGGTTCTGAGCTATTCCCATCTGCATTTCACAGGGTATGTGTTGGGAGAGAAGTCTGGGTGACATCTCATAGGGTATTTGCTTAGCCACTACTTCTGGCCTCCATGGAACTTACCAGGAGCCCTTTTTATTGTTTATGATGGCCTTAAGGAAATACACAGTAACTGGCAAGACAGATGTGCATGGAGCTAGAGCCTCTCTGTTGGAAGAGAGAGAGAGATTAGCTTGTGTTTAAGACTGATTGACAGCTGTCAGCCACAAGTTCAAGTCTTCACTGAATATTCTTATTCTATTGCTTACAGGAGACTGGGTTCTGGTAGTGGCTTGTGCCTTGTGCCTTGACTCCCTGCAGACAAAGCACTCATTTGTGTGTCTGTGTATGTGCACATATGTGTGCATGCACACACACAGGCATACATGCTATTCTCTTTGTGGACAGGCAGAAGAGTGCTAACAGTTACCACAATCTTAATAAGGTTTCCTATTGGTCTCCCTTCATGTCTTGTATTATGAGGCCCCCCTGTGAGAAGAGTTGTAAAATCAGAATCTTGGTTACAAAGATGCTCATTCTGATACTCCTTAGAATAGATAAGGGTTGAGAGACCTGGGAAGATGGTGACGTAGGAGGACGCTGGACTCACCTCATCCTGCTGATCACTTAGATCCCATCCACATATGTCTAACCCAGAAAACCACCAGAAGACTAGCAGAACAGACTCTCTGGAGCCAAGCGTAGACAAGAGGCCCACAGAAGAGGGTAGGAAGGGCAGAGAGGTGGTGCGTGCTACATGGACTGGTGGGAGGGAAATGGGGTGGTGGAGGGGCAGCCCGCCCGGAAAGGCAGAGCCCCTTGCAAAAGCAGAGGGGCTGGACTCCATGAGTTCTGACAGCCAGCAGGACTTAACATCTGGAATGTTAAAAGTCAACAGCTCTGCTCTTAGAGAGCGGGGAGGGTGAGAGGATGCTGGGAGGGACAGTTGTTGAGCCCCAGAAGACAGAGCTCAACTCAGAGGGGGAACAAAGGTGCTGGCAAGCGCCATCTTCCTTTCCCATCCCCCAGCCGAAATTCCAAAGGGAACTGGTTCCTGTCACTGAACTTGCTTGCACCACACAAACACCCAATGCTGTGCTTCTGTGGATCCATCCCTCTAACAGATCTGCCTCCCTCCCAGTGCTGCAGGGCCCCTCCTGCAGGGGACCACCGAAGACAAAGCAAGTTAAGCCTGCCCCTCCTGCCCCTGTGCAACTTGCAGATCCACCTCGGCTAATATGCCAGATCCCATCAAAGCAACATCACAAGCCTGGCAAGTAGCCCAGACAGGGGCCACACCACTCCACAGTGAGTCCTGCCCCTGGGAGAGGGGAAGATAAAGTACACACCAGTCTGACTGTGGCCCCAGCAGTGGGCTGGGGGCAGACATCGGGTCTAACTGCAGCCCCGCCCACCAACACATGTTACTCCAGACAGCACATGGGAAGTGCCCTGCAGTTTGGAGCCACCACAGGGACTACCCAAGATAACGAAGCAGAAGAATTCTCCTCAAAAGAAAATTCATGAAGTAGCGACAGCTAACCAAGTTATCAAAAACGATTTAAGCAATATAACAGAATAAGAATTTAGAATAACAGTCATAACATTAATCACTGGGCTTAAAAAAAAAATAGAGGACAGCAGAGAATCTATTGCTACAGAGATCTAGGGACTAAGAAATAGTCATGAGGACCTAAAAAATGCTATGAATGAGGTGCAAAATAAAATGGAGGTGGCCATAGCATGGATTGAAGAGGCAGAGGAGATAATAGGTGAATTAGAAGATAAAATTATGGAAAAAGAGGAAGTTGAGAAAAAGAGATAAAAAATCCAGGAGTATGAGGGGAGAATTAGAGAACTAAGTGATGCAGTCAAACAGAACAATATCAATATAATAGGAATTCCAGAAGAAGAAGAGAAAGGGGCTGAAGGTGTACTTGAACAAATCATAGCTGAGAACTTCCCTGATATGGGGAAGGAAAAAGGCATTGAAATCCAAGAGGCACAGAGAGCTCCATTCAGACATGACTTGAATCAATCTTTGGCATGACATAGCATAGCGAAACTGGCAAAATACAAGGATAAAGAGAAAATTCTGAAAGCAGCTAGGGATAAACAGGTTCTAACTTACAAAGGTAGACATATAAGAGTAGTGGCAGACCTATCTACTGAAACTGGCAGGCCAGAAAGGAAGGGCAGGAAATCTTTAATGTGATGAACAGAAAAAATATGCAGCCGAGAATCCTTTATCCAGAAAGTCTGTCATTCAGAATAGAAGGAGAGATAAAGGTTTTTCCAAACACACAAAAACTGAAGGAATTCATCACCACTAAACCAGCCCTACAAGAGATCCTAAGGGGGCTTCTGTGAGTGAAATGTTGCAAGGACCACAAAGTACCAGAGACATCATTACAAGCATGAAATCTACAGACATCACAATGACTCTAAACTGATATCTTTAATGATAACACTGAGTATAAATGGACTAAATGCTCCAACCAAAAGACATAGGGTATCAGAATGGATTAAAAAAAAAAAAA